CGAGGCGAGCAAAAGCTAAGCGATGCTTGAGTCCAAAGACGGCTACAGACTGTGTGTTTCGGTAGCCCATGGCAGGTGAGCTGTCGGTGAGGCGGCTCGGCTGTGTAGGGTCTGGGCACTCAGAAATGTTGCCGCTGTGAGCTGGTCTGCATCTGATCTGAGATGCTATGCCATGCTGTGCTGGTTCCCCGCCCCTCCTGCATCATCCAATCCGCTCAATCTCACACGCCCCCCGCTACCTACATGCAGCTCCAGACCTCGTCGCAGCCGGCTGGATAGCAAGGCACTCCGGAACCCCCACGGCGTCTCACGACGCTCAAAATTGAGGGGTTGAGGGCTGAAATGTGCTGGCTGCGGCTCGGACCCACCAGGGCCCCCGAGGAGGCAGCTGATGCGCCGACTCTCCAGGGGGAGTTGGTGCATATGCACCAACTCCCCCTGGGGAGTTGGTGCATACCCCCCCCTCCGCGCGTCTCGCAGACCCCTCACGCGTGCTTCGCTCATTTCGCACTCCTCTGGTGCTAGCTCAGAGCGAACCTGCACTGAGTTGTCAGGCCTCCTTCTACAGCCCCTCCCCCTCACGCGCCTCCAAGGGGCCTCCGAACGCTGTTTGTTTTTACTGAAGAAGCTCAAACTGGCAAGCACCACCGCGTACAACGACCCCTAGTTGCGAGCGGCAGCGAGCACAGCCCCTCACGCTACCTGCTATCGGCACACTGCTGAACGAGCACAGTAGCAACGCTATGCGAGCAGCACCCACGACCTCAGGTGCACCACAACCTCCGAAAAATCACTTGCAGTTCACATGCGCTCCTGCAAGGACGGCGGAGAGGACGCTGCGCTGTCAGTATCGGCACGCTCCTGCAAGGATAGCGGAGGGGGCGCTGCGCTGTCAGTATCGGTGTGGTTGTCAGCGTAAAACTGCTCGAGCTCTTCGGCAATGCTGTCAATCGTCTCCTGGAACTTGATTGTGGTTTTAGGAGCCTGCGCCGATTTCTGTTTCCATACACCATTGGCGCAGTACCGCACTCTCAGCGCACGCCTACAAGGGAGCCAGCGTACGTGCTCCTGCTTCACAACGACAGAACTGGCGACCACATCAGAGTCACCAGCAGGCACTTCACGTAAGATCTCCAACGAACTTTCTGTCATCTCGATTGCCAATCTGTCCCTCTCTTTGGCTGATGAGAACACCTTGCAAGACCGCGTGGACCCACCAGCGAGCATCACTGACACTGATACATAAGGGTCAATATCATCCACGAGTTCTCTGCGAGGCCTTTTCAACTGAGGAGAACTCTCTGGCGCAGACAACCGATCACGACCAACAGCAGCCATCTTTTCCTTGACTGCTACGTTCCGAGCTTTTGTGAGCGCACCGAGCATGCGGAAATCGTTGTTGACGAGTTTTGCAAAGCGCCTGTCGGTCTTGTCGCAATACAAAAACGTTCTCCCACCTGCCTCCATTGTTTTTGCAACCCACGAATTCTGAGGAGAAGGAGTGCCATCATCCGTCGACACGCACGCGTGCCCCTGTGCGATTGAGATTGGCATATCTAACGAGATCGAAAGCGGCGAGCCGCACAGGTCGAGCTGAAGCCTTGCGGCTTGATCCTCAAAAATGGACTACGCTGACGATGGGGTGGTGATGGGATGGTGATTGGATGCAGTGTGATATTTGTTGCTGCGATGTGCGTTGCTTATCGTGCTCATGCGCATGCGATGCGTGGTGCGATGCTTGCTGGGCCCTCACTGCCATCCCTTACCATGGCGTAGATACACTCTTGAGTCTACTTGGTGGTGCTGTTTGCGATGCTTGATGCGATGCCTGCTAGGTTTTCTTTTGGGGCTGGAAGGGCACCTTGCATGATTGGGGGCTTTCGTATGAGGGGTGCCCTGACATAGGGGGGGGGGGGCTGACATTAGGGGGGGGCCTGACATGATGGGGGGGGGGGGGGGGGGGGCATGGCATGAGGGTGGTGCCCGACATGAGGGGGGGCATACGACATCAAGGGGTGCCTGACACAAGGTGTTGAACACCTTAAGGGGGGGGGGGGGGGGGGCATGGCATTTGAAAATCCAACGGCAATTGCCTCACCTCGACAGCACGCGTCTCATCCTTTGCTATCCCAAGGGTCCCCCACCAAGCTGGCTTTTCCCCATATCCTAAGGATTGGGGTTCTTGTTATTACTCTGGCGCCTCCCACTGCTCCTCCTTCCTCCCGCTCGCGCCTCCCTCCTCCCAATGATAATCACCAGATAAGACAAGACAAGATAAGATACTACAGGATAAGATGAGATAGCACAATATATGATAAGGCAAGATAATATATATGACAAGGTAGGATAATATATAAGATAAGACCGCCTATGGAGTAATAAGATAAGACAAAATATGATGCGATAAGATGAGTTGATACAAGATAAGCTAAGACAAGATAAGATATTTCAAGACAAGATAAGATAGAGGGTAATAAAGGTAATATAAGATAGGACTCGATAAGATAAGATGAGACTCACTCTCACTCAGACTCACTCACAGTCACATTCGCTCACACTCACACTCTCTCATGATCACAAAACGCTGCCAGGGGCATCATTTGGGAGCCCCAAGGGGGAGCCACCCTGGCTGATCTCACGAGCCCGTTCGCGCCGATTTTGGTGGGACGTCTCAGCTAAAATTGCCGTTTGGCCTCCCCAACATGTCTCTCTTGAGAGCCTCATGGTCACAAAACGCTGCCAGGGGCATCATTTGGGAGCCCCAAGGGGGAGCCACCCTGGCTGATCTCACGAGCCCGTTCGCGCCGATTTTGGTGGGACGCCTCAGCTAGAATTGCCGTTTGGCCTCCCCAACATGTCTCTCTTGAGAGCCTCATGGTCACAAGACGCTGCCAGGGGCATCATTTGGGAGCCCCAAGGGGGAGCCACCCTGGCTGATCTCACGAGCCCGTTCGCGCCGATTTTGGTGGGACGTCTCAGCTAAATTGCCGTTTGGCCTCCCCAACATGTCTCTCTTGAGAGCCTCATGGTCGCAAAACGCTGCCAGGGGCATCATTTGGGAGCCCCAAGGGGGAGCCACCCTGGCTGATCTCACGAGCCCGTTCGCGCCGATTTTGGTGGGACGTCTCAGCTAGAATTGCCGTTTGGCCTCCCCAACATGTATCTCTTGAGAGCCTCATGGTCACAAAACGCTGAGGGCATCATTTGGGAGCCCAGGGGAGCCACCCTGCTGATCTCACGAGCCCGTTCGCGCCGATTTTGTGGGACTCCTCAGCTAGATTTGCCGTTTGGCTCCCCACATGTATCTCTTGGAGCCTCATGGTCACAAAACGCTGTTGCAGCATTTGGAGCCCCAGGGGGGGTCCACCAGGGGCTTCATAGTCACCAAACGCTGCCAGGGGCAGCATTTTGGCTTCCCAAAGAGGAGTCGACCCGGGCCTCCTAGTCGCCAGACACTGCCAGGGGCACCATTGGGATTCAGACTCGCACCCAGACTCACTCATACACAAGCTCACTCACACTCAGATTCATTTCTTCAGAGTCAGGCACACACAGACGTACCCATACTCAGACTCACCCACACTCAGGCTCACCTAACCCAGACTCCGTCAGAAGCCAGTAGCGAAGAGAGCAGAGAGGAGAGAGAAGAGAGGGAGAGAGAGAGAGAGAGAGAGAGAGAGAGAGAGAGAGAGAGAGAGAGAGAGAGAGAGAGAGAGAGAGAGAGAGAGAGAGAGAGAGAGAGAGAGAGAGAGAGAGAGAGAGAGAGAGAGAGAGCGAGAGAGAGAGAAAGAGAGAGAGAGAGAGAGAGAGCGGGAGAGAGCGAGAGAGAGAGAGAGAGAGAGAGAG